GGGAAAGGTGATATGTTTTATTACCTTAAACCATACAGTTGGAAGAAACAGGCAGAGAATGGAGAAGTTTCAATTTTATTATTTTTTTCTGAAAACCTAAGACCTTTAAGATTTGAGTGGGGTATTGTGGGGTTCAAACAGAGGCCAAGCGCATGAGTTGGAGGTAGTTCTGAAGGACTGGCTAATTTCCATGAGGGCCCCTCAGACAGCCTTGAAGAGGGAGGGAAATGCCAAGGAAAAGCCGTTTTAGAGCAGCCTGGGTCTGAGGATGTAAGGTCTGTGCTGTCTCAGTGGGATGAGCTGTATTGCATTTTATCCCTTGGCTTTGCAGTTTCAACTTGACTCAAGTTTAATGATTGTCATTGTGCAAACATTGAAATAAGAGGATAATCATTTAAAAAAATGTTTATTATGGTGGCAATAGCCACAATGGTTCAGATTTTACCTCTTCTTTCATCCTTATTCCATATGTTTTATGCCTTTGTGTCTCTGTGTTTTCCTTAGCATTCCCCTTGAAGGATGAACTTTCCAGGTGTGTTTTTTATTTTTTCTAAGAGAAATAAATATTTTTTGAGCGTTTCAGGCAGCATGTTATTTAGATGTTCTAGAACAGAAGAGAACCCAGAACGTTAACGGGGAGGGGAAAAATCTGTTGGGCCTTTTGGGCGTCCATAGATGAATTAAAGAGAAATGGAAACTTGACTTTAACCTCAGAGAACTTGCGTTTTTCTAGTAGTTAGTTTTGCTTTGGCTAATTCTGTCCAAACTCTCTGTCATAATGTTAAGTTATGTGCTTCCACCTCTATGTGTGACACCAATATAAAATTGATCAAGAGTAACAGAGTTGGCTTGAACCCTCTCAAGTTGTAAAAAGTATATTTTTCTAAAACTTCTTTTTTTTAAAGGTGACATAATGAGAGAAAAATTATGAGTGATGTTTATAGTGACCTGAATTTCTGATTTTGGCAGGTATTAGCACCAAAGATGGTACTGCCAAGAAAGATAAAGACTTCAGAGGAAAAGCCCAGAAGCAGGTGCAGTTTAATCCTGGCCAAACCTTAGCTACATGGCGAGTACGGATTTTAAGTGATGGTGAACATGAGCAGTCTGAGTCCTTTCAAATTGTTCTTTCTGAGCCAGTCATGGCAGTTCTGGAATTTCCTGATGCATCCACGGTGGAAATTATTGACCCAGGAGATGGTAAGAACCTTTGCAGAACTGTACTGCCAATATGTGCATGCACCAAAAGATAAACTGAAGTGCAAATGCTGAGTAACAGTGGATAGTAAAGCTCACCTTTCCTCAGAATATTTCTGAAGACAGACTTGGCATTGGGTAGCCATTTGTCCTCTATCACTTTAAGTGATTCATGAATATATAACTAAAGTAGTACGCTTTGATGAAATACCTGCATTTTTCTATCATGTATTATATCTAGATTTTTGTTTTGTTTAGTTTTGTTTTCATTTTAGGTACAATACGTTTTCAGTTCAATGTGTTTGCAAACGGAGTGTATCTGCACAGATGGCTGGAGGCTGACTTGATTCACTCTGTCATGATAATTCATGTGGGAGAGGATGGTACAGGAAAGTCCAGGCTGGTTAGTCCCCCCAACATGTTTGGGTCTTGGAGCAGACTAGTTGCATCACGTAGGCCTTAATATCAAGCTGAGAAGTTCAGTAAGGTTCAGAAGTTCACTAGATCAAGTACAGCACAAGCTGTGTCAAGCCCACATAAAATTATGTTTAAATGTAAATGAAGGAAGAAGCTGATTAAAAAAAAAATGTAGAATATGCTGTGGTTACTTTGCGTTTCAGACACTTGAACCCCTGGGCCATGGTCAAACAAAACTGTCCTTGAGGAATCTTTCAAGTATTGGATGACTGTAATACCTTGTTTTGTATAGTCGTCCCTAATTAACATTTCAAGAGGACGGAGCAGGAAAACTGTCAGAGGTTTCTTAGTTCCTAATTATAGATGGTAGTTAAACCAGCGGTTATCTGATGTCCATATTTAGTCACTGAGAAAAATAGAGCTTAACTTGAAAAGCAGTATGTATGAGACAGAGAAGTTACTTGAAAATATGTTAAATCTATCTTTTCTATAATCAGTGAGATAGCACAACTCAGGATAATCATCTGAGTTTTCTTAATGCCAACCATAGTTTTTTTCTGTTTCCTATATTAAGGTAAAGTTCTTACAGTCCCAGAAAATTTGTAGTAATTATACATAAAGTAAAGTTGCGTAGGAGAAAATCAAATGCACAACAGCAAATCAAGGAATATCTGCAGGAAAAATATAGAGAGAACTTTGTGGGGAAGGACTGAGTTTCCTAATCATCTTTTAAAGCACAGGGTATAACAAGTTCAGATGCTAACTGAATAGGAACCATCAAAAGTTTTATTATGCTTCCAGTGAAAATTATTTTAAAATTCATTGATTTGAGTCGTGTAGTCTCAGCACCAAAATACTGAGCTGCTTCGGAAAGCTGTACCAGCCCCTCTGTATGGGACATTAGTTAATGTTTTATTCCCAAAAGAGATTGCATAAGGGTGTATTTTCTTATGCTACCTGAGGTGATGTAGATCATTCTCCTCTGAGCTTTTATGTTGTTCATAAGGTCTATTAAATTTTTATAGTGTCATTTTACTCCTAGTTGGACAATTATGGGAGAGACAGGAAACAGAACAAATCAGATTCCTGCAATTTTTTTTGAAGGATAGAGTTTTTAATTTTGTCAGCTTAATTCTAAAAGGAGAAATAAAAGGAACAATTGTGTGTGTATGTGTGTGTGGTACCTTTTGTTTTATTAAAAAAAAAGGGTAGGGATTTGGTGGTTTTCACATTGAATTTTTTACTTGCTGGAATCGTGACAGTGTCTAGATCTTATCAAACCTGAATTACAGCATTTTTAAGGTAGGCTTTTGACCTTAAGTCATGCTAGTAGTATTTTCCAGTTGGAGAAATAAAACCTGGAACATGTTTTCAAAGAAGTCATGTGACAATTTTCAGAACAGTGTTTGCCAACGTCCTCTGAAATAATGAAAAAAATTGCTTTGTGCAGTCAGCTGATACCACTCGATGTGGTATTACACAGAATTATATTCTGTTAGGGTTGCAGTCATATTAATGAAACTATAAAGGTGCTTTATAATTGTATGCATAACCACCTTTTGTTCTTGAGTTTTTGAGGGAACAAGAACGAAATTGATCCAGAATCCCAATAACAGCATAAAACTCAGCAATCTGTTTATATGGGTGTGAAATAATGAAGGGGTTTAGAATGCATTTTAGTGTTTTTTTCCTGGAAAAACAGATCTGACATTCTTTGGTCTGATGCATTTTAGGGTGAGGTTGCTCTCCAGACTCCACTGACTATTGGCTAGGTCTCCTTTGAGTAAAACAGGAGTGTAGGCGTGCAGCCAACTTAAAGCAAATCTCCAAGTCCGAGTAAGATAGCAAGAGCTCAATCTTGCATCCTCAGTGCCAAATGATTTTCATAGTTATCGTGATGCAGTAAGTTAAAGAATGACCTTGCAGAAACACTGTGTGAGCTATGCTGTTGGTACTTCTGTGGTTAACAGTTAATGATGAAATACTATGGAAATAATTAAAATATAGACCTTGTGGACAAATTTGTCATGGACAAATGCACCATTAACACTAGATAAGTAAATTAGTCACATTAGACACCGTGTAGTAAGGACTTGTAAATTCAGACCTAATGATCTGATTTTATTTTCCCTTTCTGAAGGACTAACAAACTCTACTTCTCTTACCCTCCAAGTTTTTCTTCAAATTTAGCACCATTGCTGATAAATATGAGTTATTTGTTGCATTTTAGAATATGATAGAATGCTCCTAGCTGTTTTACAGGTGAGTTTATGAGGCCTTAAACCTACATAAACAAATGTGTCTGTGCTTTGCAGAATCAACTGTCTTTATTCCTCAGTCCACTTATACTATTGAAGAAGATGTTGGTGAATTATTTATTCCAGTCAGAAGAAGTGGAGATGTGAGCCAGGAACTGATGGTTATCTGCTACACACAACAAGGTAACAGAATCTAATATTAAAAAAAAAAAGGCAAAAACGGAAAAGAGACAGAAAAGCAAAAAGAATTGTTCCATCTATTGCATAATAAAACTGTTAATTACTTTTTCATCTAAATATTCAGTCTCAATTGGAAATTTATTCATCTTTGCAATCTGTCTTAAAGTGTTAAATACAGCAGAAAAAATACGTTCCAAATTTCTGCTATTTGTTAGGAGGTGAAGAAGATCTGTGTTCTTTATGCAAGATTTTTTTATGCAGCCCCACATATCTGAAAGTGATCAGAACTGAAAGTGGTGCAGTGATTGCCCAGGATATCCTTTACTTGTTTGTATATTGAAAAAAAATGGTATAAAATAATATTGCTTAATTGTCATCCTTCTCATTCCTCTATCTGTTAATTTGCTATTGATTATATCCACACAGAGCATGGGGTCTCTTCACCTGTGCTTTTATTGTTATTTTTCATCTGGAGAGATGATTTTGTTGAGGTGATGTGGAATAAAAATTATTTGTTTTCATCAAATTCTATCTGTTTATAGTTAATTTCTGGTCCACTGATGTCTTCAACTGATAAAATGCACTGAACAAGTTAATTTGTAGTCGTCACAGCATCTGCTTTGTCAATCTATGTCTCTTGTGATAGATTACAATATTCCTTCTGACTAAAAAACTGCAAATGAATTTGAGGAGCCATGTGCTTGCATTGTATTATATACAGAAGTATTTTGTCCAGAGACCTCAGAAATGTAGCCTGGTTAGAGGTTTCAGCCCATCTTATCACATAAAAGTAAATAGAAATTAAAAGATAACGAAAATAAAATTCAGCCTCTGCAAGGGCATCATTATAACCATGGTATGTGTAGTGACTGTTTTCCTTTTGTACCATAGGGACAGCATCTGGCACTGCCCCAACCTCTGTACTTTCTTACTCTGACTACATATCCAGGCCCGAGGATCACAACAGCATTCTACGTTTTGATAAAGACGAACGAGAAAAAATGTGTCGGATAGTCATCATAGATGATTCCTTATATGAAGAGGCTGAGACCTTTGATGTTTTGCTGAGCATGCCGATGGGTGGAAGAATTGGTGCAGAATTCCCGAGCACTCGAATTACCATTATACCTGATAAGGATGATGGTAAGACATCATGTAATAAAGTGGTAGTGCAGTCCAGGAGCGACACTACAGGTAGCATCACACTGAAAACAGCATGTAGGAGACTTTTGCACTTCTCCCTGGTGGTTAAAACACATGCTGCTTACATCTTGAGTTTTGAAAATACTATTAGGAAGCTATGTAGGTTCTTTAAAGTATTTAGGATTGATATTTTATGGTTTGTGAAAATCACATGAGCAGTGATTGGGAGTGAGGAGATGCACCTTTACATTCTATCACAGTAAAAAGTGTAATCCAAAATGTCACCCTTGTCACCTGCACGGTCACCCTTGTCTGTGTGATTCTGAGGTTGTGTCCACAAAGCCTCCAGACCCATTGCATTATGCTCCAAAGGGCCATATTAGAGGTCCTGGTAGACTAGAAGTCATCTAGCAGCTGCTAAGAGGCAAGCTATATTCCTTCTGATTTGATGCTGCGTTTAAATTTCTGCCTAGTAGTGTCCCCATATGCTTCCTTTGTCTTTTTAACAAAGCAAATAATCAAAAGATTGTAATGTTGCTTTAGAAATCACCTCAGTAAGGAAGCGCTGGCGGTATTATGTCCTTTGTTCAAGTGGTCAATAGCTTTGATATATTGCATTGAAAGCAACATTTCTGGTGGTGATTAGAGAGAGGTCTGTGACCGAGAAATAGTAGAATCAGCACACTGTGTCATCAACTGCTTTTGAAAATACATGTAAATATTATTGAGACTTCAAGCCTTTCCTTCAGCGTCCTTAGCATTGGTGTGGCAACTGTCTTTCTAGGAGTGGCAGCAATTTTCCTGGTTTCCTGGTACAATTGCCCTCATTTATGCATGGAGTTTGGAGGCTGACACCTCAGCTGTAAATTCTGTGAAAGGAATAATGATAAGCTATTTTAGTCCTCTCTATGAGGCCATAAACCATCTATTGTGACACTGTCTTATTTCCTAATGTGAGGAGTTATATAGTACTCTTTGAAAGTCTGATGCCAAGATAGGCAGTTTTTGTCAGCACAGTGATTTCTCCCTAATTAAGTATATAAAAGGCAGATCTTCGAGGCAGGAAGTTGACACCCATCTAATTGAATCGTAAATACTCGGTCTGCCTGAAATTTCTCACGTGTAATCCTGTGACAGAGGTGACTGTTTTCTCTGGGGAACACTTGGGTAATCATATAGCATTAATGAACACAACAGTTTGAAATAATACTTCTTGTAAAGTAACAGATCATATACGTGTATCTGACTTTGCTGTGATAGCAAATCCAGGCTTATTTGTGTACTTTTTTTACAATAATTTGATTTTTTTGAATAATTTGATGAATTCATGAACTTTATGGTTTGTAGATAGCAAAGCATAGAATATTGAGAGAGTAGCTATAAAAATATATCCCTGAAGAAGCTGAATATGTGGCTTTTGAAGGTGTTCTGACTGCTTAAAATGTATACAGAAAGTTTGAGATGGGGAGAATGTTTCTCCAAGAGATTATTTAAAACAGAGATGAGCTGAAATTAGAGCATCTAACTTCAGTGGGAACCTCAATGCCTGGAAGGGAACATTTTTATGTATTGTTTTTAGCATTTAAAGTACGATATTGTCCTTCATAAGCTTATACAGTCATTTTAACTGTAACGTAGAATGACTTTGAATAAGAAATGATGACAATTAATCAATCCCAGCATAGTATAGAACTTAACAGTTTATGAAACTCCCACAAAATATTAGGGAAGTTAACGAGAAATCTCCTTTATTTTAACACTGCTATTAGAAAACATGAGAAGTAATTTGGTTTGTATAACAGTGTTCAGTTTTAGGTCTAATATTTCTTACATTTATGAGCACAACTTGTCTCAATGCTACAAACTTTTAAACAGGATTTATTTAGCAAATAAAAGTAATCCTATGGGATTTATTAAAAAAGCTGACATGGAGAAGTGTTTGGGATATCAGAGTAGAACATTTTCATTATGTAATAACTGAAACATCTACATTTGTTGGTACGAGTAAAGAATGTTTTGGATATCAAAAGATACAGGGGCTTTGAAAGATAGGTTTGGATCATTTTTTACAAACATTCACTTGTCTTTTTGCACCCAAAATGTTCCATACGTCATATTTGAAATAGTGTGACAGGACTCTGTTTTTGCTTTGTGTATCACTGAAAGTACTTCCACAAACAGTTCCAGAGCATTCAAAAACTTACTGACAATTCACTTACCAGTAAAATTTTCTACCACACACTTTTAGTTTGCACAAAACCATAATGCATGGTAACAGAAAACTCTACATGTATTTTGTTTCATCTGAGATCTGTTGTGCTGCCTGTTCTAGAAAAAGCAGAGTACAAACTACAAGAGTAGATAAATTATAAGTTATATCTTACATATTTATTTATGTAATCACACACATATATGAACATACATATGCTTATTTCATATTGTGCATATACACGCATCACACATATTTATGTAACGCGAGCAATTTAACCGCCTATTAGTCACGACTGAAATTCTGCATAAATAAGTAGGAGATTTTAAGCAGCATTGGTTATTATTGTTTGCAGTGCACAAAATTAATTTCAATAACTTGAAACAGTATGCTATGTGAAATAAAAAGCACTCTCTTTAGCTTTTAACAATAAAAATTAATTCAGAGAATCCCTAAGATAGAAGTGGATAAAAGCTTTAGCACATATATAATAGCCTATGAGCTATAGTAATGTTATACTAAATTCTGTAGTCCACTTTAGTCTCTTTACTTTACACCTACTAAAATATTTTTCTCATTGTTTGTTTAAATTCATCTTCTTCTTAACAAAGTTTCTTTGGACGAATGTCACAGCATGTCATTAAGTTGTGATTTCTCCAAGTACTGTGACTGGATTAACATTATGCATTGACTTCTTCAGGTCAAAAGATACAAACAGCAAAGGTCAAAGTTTAATAATACTACATGAGATCTTTCCTATGGAAGTCAAGTCAGCACTAGCAACATTACCTTATCTCCTCTGGCATTCAATGCAAGTTAATTAGGAAACATTCACCTTCAGTACCTATCATCAAAGTCTTTTCTTCTTCTTTTATTTCTAGAGAAGGCCCTTAGGGTCTAACTAAAATTGCTGAGTTGCTGTACAATCATGACAATAAACAAAAAGTAAAAGAGGTTTGCTCAACTTTCTAGTGAACCAGGCTATATTAAAAAATTCCTGGCAACTGAATACTTTAATTGGGGATTATATAGTTGTGCTGTGCTGCCAAAGCAAAATGTGAAAAAAAAATCACAGTATGTAGAACATGCACAGGTATGTATTGTGAAAGGTGATTGGTGCTGCTGTTGGGACATTTCTTAATTTGGAAGGGACTTTTCCTGGTAGGTCCTGAAGTTAGAGACAGATACAAAAGAAGAAAAGGATTAAGTTAATGAAATGCACAGCAAAGTACATTGCGCATGGAAATCTTGTGTTCAAAGTTACATGTGTCACTACAGTTTAAGCACTAAAAACTAAAAACATGGATCTGTTTGAGTCAGAGGTGATAGTTACTAACCATGAACCACAGGAAGAAAAGCATTCAGGGGAAAGACTTATGCAAAACATCCACTTTTGGGGTGGCAGTAATCTTACTTGATATTAGCTGTCTATAAATTTAGACATCTAATTCAAGCAGGCTATGCGAGGATCCTCCTATAGTTAATGAAAAGAGAGATATGCTCCCAGGAACCATCTCATCCTAGGATGGTTGAGATCAATCACCATGGGTACCTGGTGCATCTGAATACACCACTTTCTGACAGTAGGTATAAACCCTACCCTTAGAAATTTAATTTGCCATTCAACCCAAAGTCGTAGGCACTACAGGCATGAAGGAAGGATTTTTTTCTAATTTTGTGTTAAAAGAGCTCCTACTATGAAATACCATTAAACAAAAAAGGGATACATAGCTATTCCTGCTTCATTAAATAATTATGATTTATAAAGAACAATCTAAAAGAATCTAATTGAAATCTAAAGAAACGAAGGCTGAAGAGTGTTTCAATAGGTATTCAGATATTCAAGATAAAATCCCAAAACAAACAAAAAAAATCAACCATTTTCCATAAAAATGTGAACTTGTGTTATTAAATCTAGCCAGAATTGATGGATTGAACTACTTGTCTTCAGGTATCTCAAGGATCTGGGACATGGACAGAAATCCCTGAAGAATTTGAGGTCAGTTGATTGGCTCAGGACATACCTATCCTGCACAGAGAGCACAGAGTTCGGCATTATTCAGAGGAGGCACTTTACATAATAGATCAATGTCATGCATCTAGGGAAAGGAAGATAAGGTTGCTGTGCACTTTCCATTCCCCTTGGAGAGAGGAGTCCTGGAGTTTAGTCTCAGATCCTGAAAATACTCAGACCCTAGTCTTCCATGGAAATGCCCTAACCTCCCCCTATCCCCACCCCCAGGCACTTAGCAACTAAGCAAGATCAGCCTGGAAGTGCTCTTTTTCCAGCTGAAGCTGTGGCTCTGAAATCATCTCCTGTACATGGAGAAAAAATGAGATCAAACTCTTTTGTTAGTCTTCATCTGGGAACGAGGAGCCTGTAATTTCGTTCCAACGCTAACAGCGTTGCTGTGTTGTATGCAACGAGTCTGATCCAAAATGCTTCAGTTCTTGCAACAAGGCTTGCAGTCAAAGCTCTGCTCTCTCATAGTCAAATGTTTTGATTGCCGGGCTGCTGGTTTGAACTCTTTTTTGCTTACTCTGTTTTGTTTTGTGGGCAAATTTTAAACTCTTGGTTTGTAATCACATTTGGAAACCAGCAGAGAAGAGGTGTGATGAATGCAGAGCTGGAAGTTTGTGGCTAAGAGGGGAATGCTTACAGTTATTTTGTTTGCTTCAAGTTTTTTGTCAGTGGTTGTCTTCCCATGTGATTTTAATTCCATGCTACTGTATTTAGTGTTGCCATGAGAGCACACAGCCTTACAGCCAGGCTGACAAACAGTCATCTTGC